GTTTGTGAATGAATGCACGATGATTGCGAGATTGCGTCCTATTATTGGGCCATCCGATCCGGGTCGGATGTCACCAATATGGGATATGATTGTGAATGTAGCGATGATATAATCGCGCCAACGTCCGAACGATAGGACGGTTATGGGCACCCCGATGACTTGCGTGGATAGCCGATTGTAGTCGGTACTATTGCGTGACGAGGAACACACGGTTCTTGGAACCGCGCCAACGTTTCCGCTAGCGACGGAGCGGATCCCGGGATATGAGTATCCCGAGGATGAGGGCATCACACATACCTGAGATTCGGGTAGATTGGGGTCTCCCGATGAGGGGGTACAGACTTACTCTGCCAGGTTCGGGTCCGAACCTGACAAGTATTTCCGCGGCGGATGGTCGGCGAGGGAGAGTTGCAGCGATGGGCTCTCTCGTTATAGTCGATGGCGTCGGTTGTAGACGGCGGCTGGTGAGCTCCGGTATTGAGAGGTGACATCAATGCCGGAGTCGGGTGACACGCCTAGTATCGAGAGGTGACATCGATGCTAGGGTGGGGTGATGTGTTCGGGCGGAGAAAATAAAAAGATACTTATGCCGGATTCCGAGTGGTTGCGGAGTAGATGGATTCCGAGGAGAGAGGTGGTTGTGCCATGCACATGGGGAGTACATTACCTACGCATGGTGCGCGTAGAGACGATTTGACGGACTCTGTCCTGCGACTTGTCGTACGGACTTGATTGTGATTGCTGCATGCTTATAGTGATTTCCTGTTTTCAATTTCTGTTTATTAGAATACTAGTATATATATATATGTGTGTATGTGCTTTCCCTGGCACCATGAGAATGGAACTCCGGGTTACGCCCGAGTTCACTCTCTAAGCAATTAGCTTAGGACGTTGTTACGCAACGTTTCAGGTCGTGAGCATCAGTAGCCGATGAGCGGACATCGGAGACCTGGGCAGCTTATCGTTTGATCATGTATAATTATTTCCTATGGTACATTTACGCTTTTGGGAAACGGTTTGTGTTATATCGGTGGTAGACTTTTACGGTTTATGATAATGTAATACTACCACTGTTTATGTATAATTATAACTGAAATAATGTACCGTATATGTATGCATGAGTGTTTTTCTTCCGCTAAACTCTGAAAAGAAAAGTTTTAAATTCCCGCGGATTTTTGGAAATGTTATTTTATTTTACTTGTCCATGTGACGCAACTCGTATTGCGGGATGCGGGTTTCGGGCGTTACAGGGATTAATATCTAACACTTGGGTTTTCTGTATATTCAATAGTTTTTTCTCTTCCTTTCTAACAGAACTTTCCGAGTTATCGTCATCAGCCGTTTGCCAAAACTTCTCTGTTTGGGCGAAAAACGGCAGTGTCGCTCTACCTGCTCTTTACTGCTTTAGGTTCAACTCTGACTTGAGTTGTCGGAAAATCATGAGAAGATCTCAACGGTATGCGGCCGCATAACAATCAAACTCAGAGGTGACTTTTTGTTGATGGTAATTCAATTGTACGTGTTTTCTAAATCCTGTCGACTTTTTATATGTTACAATTTTTGTAGAGGCACAGAAAAATGTATGGTGAATGGGATGAATGTAAGTCCTTTGTTTTGGTTCGGTCGAGAGAGTGGATCAACCCGTCAAGTTCGGTTCGGTTGTGTTATATATATATATATATATAAATCATTATGCATTCATGGCATCTCTATTTATTTGAAACAGAAAGACAGATTGTTTTTTATTTGTTATTCCATGTTATTATTTTTGCAATATCAGTTTTGCATTTGTTTTTTTTTCTTGTTATTATTGGTTTATAACGGAACCGAAATATTCTAATACCGGATCAAATCAACATGTTTGGTTATAGTTTTATTTTTCTAATTCATTTAATTTATATAATTGTATTATAACAGAATAAAATATCGCATAATAATCAAAACAAGAATCGTATTCGTAATGGTCATCTCTCTCTTGTAGCGCATGAACACGAATATTTATATTCTTTTCTTATAACGAATGTAATGGAAGATCAATTTTGCATACGGATGTACAATTGCTCTTATTCATGGACATTTTCGTAAAATTAAAAATATAGAAAAGGAAAGGTGTTGCTAATTTTTTAGGAAATAGAATCTCATACAATATATGCACGTAGATATCAACACTTTTCAAAAGGATACATGATTTTTTAGATTAATTTTTTTTCGTATAAATATCACTTGTGCTGAAAATTTTATTTTGTATAAGCATTCTAAATAACTGGCGTATTTATAAGAGTATTAATTTTTGGAAGTACGAGGTGAAATGAAAGATATAAGGCATGTTGAGTACTGAAATCAAAGATATTTGGGGTGGAATTTGTTATTTTCCAGAAATCAAACACTCACAAAACACATCAGAAACATAAAACATCATCATATATATATAAAAAAGTACAGTTTTCTTTAACGGGTGAATGACACGTATCTCTGATGAGAATATCAAAGGTTTTTTTATATTCTGATCTGTTTAATTAATTAAATAATAAATTTTCAATTAAAATACAAGAAACTACATATTCGTTTTTCAATTTAAGAAACTACAAATTCGTTTAATTCTTCACTTTTTAACTCTCCATGCATTAACCATGAGTGAATATCATTTATTATTTCTTAGATGTGTAGCATTAATTATTGAAAATATATATGACCGTGTCTTTTTATTAAGAATATGAAAGATTACGTTCGAATCTTTTCATCAGAATCAAATGAGTATCATCATGTTTATATATATACAATGATTGTACGACACGTGTTATTTATAGTGATTGTTTATTAAAATTAAATCTTTGATATTCCAATACGTAAGGTCATAAAATAAATGAGAGTTATATAGAGATTAATGAACAGATTCAATGGTCTTCAATGTATTAACCGAACATAACTAAAGATAAGATGAACTAAGACACTTTGACATGTATATAGATATGTGTAAATTGACAGAGTCTTCGATGGGTGATTAAAAGAAACAGTGGCTTTCGTTGTCAGACGATCGCTATGGCAAAAAATAGATCATGGCTTAGCGACTGTCAAGATGCTCTTCCCGCAGTTATAGCAAGCCAAAGCCACGTCGTCGCAGAACGCCGCTGCTCCAGGTGGAGTGCTTTTTCAACGCGTTTGGTTACATGTGTCGAATCCTCACTCTTTTGGGCCATCCATATAAGCAATATATCACTGTTTCGACGAATGAATCACATCGTGATTGCATTTTGCATGGCGTGTTGGTATCCACGCTTGACAGTCGAGGTGATAGTCGTATGATTCATGTGTAGGAAAGATTTATAAAATTATTTTTATTAATCTCACTACATAATTTATATTAAGATCTAGGTTGGTTATAGGTATCCAAATGCAAATTTTCTTGATGTTCAAGATGACGGTTCTTCTTTTCTTGATGTTCTTCTTTTTTACTGTATGTTTGTTTACTCCTTTATTATTATTTTTTTTAACACAGTTCGTTTATATGTTTTTGCTGATAACTGCAGAGTCCAGATGGAGATATAATTAAGTGTGTATCAAATATAATTCTTGCTGATAATTTTATTTAATAATGAAATTTAAAAATTTTTGTCGGTCAATGTAATTTATAATATTTTGATTATTTTTTTACGAGATTTATTTTTCTTATTTTATATATGTGTATATATATAGAAATATTGAAATAATGTTATGAATATGATTATATGGTGGTCCATCTATTTTTTTTATGTAAATTATGTAAAAACTGTAGTAACAAAAATATTGGGTTTTCATCTTTATTACTACACCGTCCATATAAAATAAAATATTCAGTCCAAATCTCTTTGTACACAATTTTTTTATTGTTTAATATTCGTTTTCGTTATATTCTAAAAAATATTTTTATATGTAGTTGTTTGATGTAACAGTATATAAAAGGGTTTTGAGAAGCATTTAAAAAGTACAATTTAATTACGAAGAAATCAATCAAATAAAATATTTATTTACACAATGGGTGAAGAAATAAATTCACACAACGGTTACAGTTGATTTTTTTAAATGTATATTTATAAGTACAGTTTTTTTATTGAGAGCCAAGTACAGTTAGCTCTAGGTAGAGGGCTTTCTGCCATGGTTGACAATTTTATTTCGAAACAGCTTCCATCCAGCTTTTCATTTGACATGGTCCATTCTCCATTGTGCCCAATGTGGTATTATTTGGGATATTAAAGGTAAATCTATTAGAAGTTTGACCACAAAATTGGTTGCTTTAATAAGATGACGTTGCTTTCCTTTTGGTGATCCTCTTATGCCGATGCAGTGCTACTATTTGAAGTGGATCGTCTTACGGAAACTGAAATTCTATTTATTCAGTTCCCTATTATTATATTTTTCCCAATAATATCATAGTGCAAAAAGGAAAAAGAAAAAGAGAAATATTTGAAAAATAACAGAGAGAATTTGTATAGAAAGAAAGAGAATGTTTTTTTTTTAATTTTGATTCTTGGTGTTGTGTTTTAGTCAACACGGACACACACGTATTTATACTCATAGCAAATACATACAATCCACACATTTTACTTTAACTCTCAGTCATTTCTCTCCACTCACATTCACTCACACGCACTTACATCCACACATTTCCACTCACTCAACACACTATTATTAGTTCTAATTATTTTATTATATTTTTATGGATCAAAATCTATCACTTCCCTTGATGTATTTATTTATTTAATCCAAGTTTTTTCTTTAATTCATCAAACCTTAACGGTGGTAGCACCTTTGTGAAAGTATTTAGAACCGAGAGGTCGGTAGATTTAAACTCCCGAAAAATGAGGTGAGACTCGAGAGATCCAATCTCTGTCAAACTGAACTTGAATTCTCCGAACCGTAACCATAGTCATATAGATACATCCTTAGAATTAGTTTTTGCATAACCCGAAAAAATCCCGACACCTAGGATGTTTTAAATTGATTTGTGTTAAAACCGTTATTTGTATTTATTTTAAATTGCGTTTATATTTAGTCATCGTCATCACCATCCAAAAATATCGTTGTCGATCAAACCCGATTAAAATCCGAAATTATCGCTAAAAACCACACGTGTCCTTGTGTTCGACCCTAGAATACTACGATCGACCCGTACACTTGCGGTAGTTGCATCTAGGAAATAAAACGAGATTAGATCACACCCTAGATCGACATCAAGTTTTTGGCGCCGTTGCCGGGGATGCAAAACGGCTTTAGCGATACGATTAGGAAACTGTTTGGTTTAGGTCATTTTTTTTCTTTTTCTCTCTTTCTTTTGTTCAATTTCTTCTTCACCCTTTTCTCGTCGTTGTTCCATTCATTTTGTATGCAGGATTTCTCCAGTGTATGACAAGGAGTGCTGGGTCAGAAAATCTAGTTCCTTTTGACCCTAAAATCGAGAAAACTGCTAAACAAAACCAAAAACAACATCGAGAGAGGATGGCAGAACACGACGTTGTACCCGTACCCGGAGATGCGCATGTAAATGAAGAAACCTTTGCGTAGTACAATGCTCCAAAACATACTGAGCTCATGTCTGGTATATGGATGCCGGATGTTGACATGACAAGATTCGAGCTCACTCCCGCTACTATCCAAATGTTGAGCGCCATGGCCTTCCGGGGTAGGCCAAATGAAGATCCCAATGCACACCTCACGAGGTTCAAGATGATGTGCCGATCCATCAAGAGAGCTGATCAGGTAACCGAAGATGCAATCCGCCTTATCGCTTTCCCATGGACGTTGATCGACGCAGCGCTCGACTGGCTCTATGAACTCGAACCGGATTCCATTCATACATGGAACCAACTAGAGAGCCAGTTCATGCAACGCTTCTTCTCCCCACATCGCACTCAAGCTGCCTTGAACAGTATTCACTCAATCAAGCAAGATCACGGGGAGAGTTTGCACGAAGCGTGGAAAAGATACAAGGGCTATCAAAAATCGTGCCCTCACCACGGCCTCGACAAGAACTACCTGATCAACACATTCATCAGAGGTCTACGGCCGGATACCCGGACATTGATCCGAGCCGCCTGCGGAGGAAGTCTTTCTCACATGTCCTTCACGGATCTTGAACAACACATTGATCAAATGGCGAGAGAAGAAGATTCTCCATTGGAGTCCGTAAGAGATATGCCCAGGAGAGATAGCGATTCTAAGTTGCAGCAGATGCTAGACGAGCTCACCGCGCTAAAGACGAAACTCGCTAATGCAAGCTTTGTCTCATCCACTAGCACATCAGGTGTGCAGCAAGGCGAACTTGCTTTGTACGCTGTTGACGAAGGGATAGAAGATGTGAATACTGTCGCTAACAACCCCTATTCCAACATGTATAATCCAGGGTATAGGAACCACCCGAATCTCTCCTGGAGGAACAACAACGTCCTGAACCCTCCGCAAAATAATTATCGGCCAATGCAGAACCAGAACCAGCGGATTCCACCAGGGTTCGCCTTTCAGCCACGGGCCCCACCAATGCAGAATCAAGGGCCGATTCAGAACCAACCATACAGACCCCCGGTTCAGAATTTTCGAGCACCTACACCTCCTACGCCACAACAAGACGGTGACTCGGAGATCAAGGCA